AAAAAAAAAAAAAAAAAAAAAAAATTACAATATACTTACCATGGTGTGCCCGATTTCATAGTGGCTGCCCGAAACGTAGAGTACCGGAATGTAATCTTGTCTTCGCGGCAAGACGGGCGGCGGCGTCGGCGGTGTTTCTTCTGTAAATGACATGGTGATCGAGTCCCGAATTATTATACTCGAACGAGTGGGCAAGACGGTTAGTGGAAAAGCAGATTTCGAAAAACGGTTCAAACAGTATTGCGATGTAAGTGTAATAGGCGAGCGGCCGATCGGTTCGAAAGGCGCCGGGGGAATATTACGCAGTGGCGATACGCGGTTACGCGGGCTGTGCAATATTATGGACGTTATATAGATTTGATTTTTTTTTTTTTCCTGTCCGCACGGGACGAGAGGGACCGAAGCCTTTTTACGAATCGCAAATCCAATTATAAACGCGCACACGTATTATGTGTGTTCGGCGTGTGTGAACGTACAGCGTGTATTATTACGGCGGTATTATGATACGCTGTGATGGTCGTGTGCGTACTTTTGACCGAGTCCGCGCGTGGAAACCAGTGTACGGCGTGCATCGCGGCGATTGAGGTTTTTATGCTTTCCGAATGTTTCTTTTTTTTTTTTTTCCCTCCAAAATCCTAACGGTGTTCGCGCCGGTCGCGACGACATTAAACACGTTATCATTAAAACGGCCGTGCACGCGTGCGTGTGCGAGCGATGCGTGTTGTGTGTGCGTGTGTGTGTGTGTGGAATACCTAGTATAATATATTATTATTCCATACTGGCCATATTCAGAGGACGCGACCGCGCCGCGCATTTTGTCGTCTCCGTGTCTTACGAATTCGCGCACCGCGAAACTGTGCCGGTTTCAAATGTTTCGGCGTTGGAGCCAGTGGCGGATTCAAGGAGGGGCCAAGAGGGCCCGCCCCTCGCCCCTTGACAGTTTAATTATAATTGTGTAGTTGTAATAATATGAGTAATGAATAATGATTGTTATAAATCGTCGTTCAAATTGCGGTTAGACCAATTATTACGACAATGTTGATACTTGATTGTAATCTTATCTGAATTTTGTATATTATATCTCCATTGGTCGGAGTGAATTTATTTGAAAAAATTTCGAGAAAAATAAAACCGACGCACAAAACACGGATAATGTTCGTACGTTCAAGACCGTTTAACAGCAGGCCAATAATGTTCGGCCTGTGTAATGTTTAAACGATAAAGCGCTAAGTCGGCTGCTACGCCGTGTGAGACGGACACAAACGAATGTGTGGCCGTTCCCCAGTGTCGGAATAAGGCTTCTCGTAATTATATTATTTATAATACGACAGTAACGGACAATTGCGAAAAAAAAAATACAAATGAACAAAATGTATACCTAATAAAACCGTCCAGTTTTAATTTGCGTATTTACTAGTATAATCAGAGGCGCAATTCGGGTTAAATTTATGGGGGTGCTAGATTTATATTGACCAAAGTGACCCGTGGGGGGCTTTCCCCCTCACACCCTTTTCACACAACACCATTCGCACATTTATATTATTTACTCATTAATCTATAATTATTAATGTTTTATAATGAAATTACACAAAAGAAAATAAAACACGAATTGAAGGTATATTATTAAACGCGGGTAAATACATTTTTTTACTTTTTATTTAAATATTATATTAAATATACGCGTTTTTGTGACATACCAGAATTATTTATTATTTTATCTTTATCAATTTTAGTGCTTTGGTCTCTCTCAATATTAATAACTGACAAATCTGTACATTCTGCTTGTCCCATAATTGTCTTAAGCCAATTCTTTATACGGCGCATAGATGAATAAGACCTTTTGCTAGTAGTCGAGATCATAAGAATAGTCAATCCTACTTGAATAAGTTTAAACATGTTTGGAAAAACATCTTCATTTATCACTTTCTTTAATCCAAGTTTATCAACTGATGGTGCGACCTGTGTTTTCGCAGAATAAATGCAATCGGAATGGTTACTTCGGATGGAAAATTGATTTCGTTCGTTATATTTTTAGACGGTTTATTCTATTTACCTACCTGATTTGCGAAAGAAATTGATAAGCTGTAACGGGTTACGGGCACGCCTTGTATCATGTAACATTTATAACGTCGCTTAAAGTGGAACAGTCCATAATATCTCAGTTTTTATAGTTTTTCAGGAGAGGCATTTCAATTTTATGTCAGTACATAAAAATGATATATTTTCGCTAATAACAGTGTAACCGCTAATCACACAGAAAATTCTCTTGATGAATTAATGCTCAAAATCACTTGTTTTATTAACATTGATAAATATCTAATTTTGTCAAATTTTGAGATATGCATTTTCGCATATCTATTGTTGCCCGTATCATCGCCAAATGATGATTGGCTAAAAATTGATAAGTTTTCTATCGAGACAAAAAATTTGGGGGTTAGGCTACGCACCACCAAGCACACCCCAAATTGCGCCAATGAGTATAATACTAATTACTTTTACATAATGTACTGATACTACTAAAAAAAAAAAATATTTCACACAATAGGTGGGCCACTGTTGTTGTAGGCGAGAAGTTGAGAAGGTAGAGTGTAAAGGGAATTTAATATATATCTGTACGTAACGGTTCATTTTTGTTGACAAAAAATTATTCTGTGCGGAGTTCAGTTATACGATTTAAAAGGCCGTAATATTTACAATTTGTAAATAATATATTTTGTACATTTTCCCATTTTCCCTACGTTTTTTCCTGGTTTTTCCATGTTTATGACTCCCTTAAAGTATCTTAAATTACTACCCCAGTGAGATTTCCTTCCAGAAAAAATGTCACACTTGAAAATCGGAGGAGCAAAATTAATTGTAGAAAAGTTGTTCACAGGAAACAAAAAACATCATTGTAAAACCAATACATTTACTTCACTCGGAATCTAAAAACAGATAACGACAAATATTTTTCGAGTGGTTAAGAGGGCATTATACGCTCATCTACCGTCTCAGTTCATCTACAAGGTAACATGTAAAAAAAAATGCTTACGCAAAATAAGTAAAACTAACTCAATTTTGATTTTAGAGTAAAAGTACCTATTATGAAATGTATAGAAAGCAATATTTTGGAGGGAATATCATGGATGTTTTTTGAACTATGATCTATTAAAAAAATTACAGTTATTTAAAAAACATTATTAATTTTTATTTTTACTATCCATTTATCTTAGTAAACAAACAAAAAATCTTTCGAAGGGTGAGATTGCATTTTTCTCAAAAGTGCCACTGTGTTTTATATAACTGTGTAGGTATTATTGATTCATTTTAACGTGCCTAGACTACATTAATGCGAGTACTCGACAACACACAATGAAGTATAATATTACCATGAGATTTGTTTTTATCTTGTCATTCACTGAGTCTATGTTTTCAGCAAATGAATAAGTGTTATTATGAAATACAGAAAACGATAAGAATTCGACTGATTAATTGATTTGTTTATTAATTAATTCATTTTTGTGCTATAGGAAACATTTTTTGTTCGTAAATTAGGAAAATAATAAAGCCAATATAAACGTAAGTGAGGAAGTACTTACAATGTAAAATTACTATACTATAGTAGCGTATCAAGAAATTATTTTTGAGGGTGGAGGGCAAGAAATTCTCTGTAAAACAAAGTTCTAATTTAGTAATCATATTAGTAAATTAAGTTAAATCAAATTTATTGATTTGAATTCCGGCAAATATTAAGTAAGATATATAAAAATAATAAGTACATATTTTCCAAGATTAATAATCAGCCACTGCAAACATTCGAAGTACAAAATGGAGTATCTATACAAAATAGACACAATAAAAATAAATGTAAACAGATCGCTACCCAGTGCCCACTGGTGCCATTTTTAAATGCGTTTATGGAAATTGATAAATGGTAGGAGATTGTTCCGCACATGATTCACCGAAAAACTTATCTAAAAGGGAAAATAATGTTAATTGAAAACCATTATTATTATGATATAATATGAAATCCATTAATCCAAAATACAGTCTTAAAAAAAATATCATTTTTATCATTTTTTTTTTTTTTACATTATGAACCAGAATGACCGAATAATTAATATATGATGATTTTATACATTGTTTTAAAAACTTCTCACTTGAGAAAAGCATTTAGGGAGGTGGGGGCATTGTACATCATACTGTATCTCTCCCCATATATACCACTTCTATACTGTATAAACTAGACGGTAAGAGTATCAAAATATCAACATTGTCAATAATTTCTTTGGAAAGACTACTTTTCTTAATTAGATATCTATTGGAAAAAAAAACTGTTGATGTATCGTTGCGTCAGTCGTATCATGCACATAACTTATTATTATAATATTATTATGTTATGGTCAAGTGGCTACTACTATTATGAAGATATAATTATATTGCGAACGTTATAATAAATGAATAATAATATTATTATCGTCCTTGTAGGTAGTATAATACAAAGTACAAAGTAGTAAGTACCTATATACAAAGTTGTTTTCCCGGTGGTATATATTATTATTTTATTAAAAATAGTTGAAAAACGTGTAGATATTAGTAGATGATTTTGTAGGTTATACTGTCTCTGTTATAAAAAGGTACCTTAAGGAAAGAATAGGCACAATACAAAAAAAAAAAATGCAATATGGCTGCTTCCGATTTGCGCCTATACAATACACACGTATTGAATCGGAAGTCCCCGAAAAATATATGCCAACTTAATATTACTAACTGTGTGGTTTATCTGATATACGAATTTTATCCTCGTGACAATTAACTGCAGTGGATCCGTGAGAAAATTATTCATATGAACGCAATACGGCATTAGATTATAGGTTAGCGAATTCATATTATTTGTTATTTTCAACACGCATTTATTATGCAATTAACATGGATTTTCTCGATTAACCCCGTAACCCCGTCTATTTTTGAGATAAGTCCTTTCCCAGGAGACTATAGCTATAACGTCTCATAATTATTATATTGTATCTACTATAAGAGAAACTTGCATTTATTTGGATGATAGTTTAATATGTGCAGTGTAGGATTGGTTACATCAGTTCAACTTTTAACGAATATCCAATACGTGTCCACTCCCCATCCCTTAAAACCTCTAAGAGAAAATAGACAAGACCTTCCCCTTAACTTTTGGACTTTCCCATTGAGAATATTTCCAATAACACATAAATAATAAAATATTTGTTCGAAAATCTACTAATGATCTATGCACTGTTTGACTTCTAGTGGACACACAGTAAGCAAAACCTTACTCTATTGAGCGTTCAATGGATTTTACTGTGAATCCATTCGAACACAGAAACCGCATAATACGAAAAATACAAATATGAATATTTTATCATCTTTTGATTATATGGTCATTGATTTGCTTATTGCTGTTTATAAAATACATCGCTAACAATAATTTAGAAAAATAAATTTACCCGCAGGAGGAGAAATGGTATTATCGGCATGGGACACTCTTAAGCTGCCAAACATCACCATCAGACCGCATAACATCGTGAACATATTCATTTTATACCATTAGTTTTTGACGTTTCCGTACCGAAGTCAAGTACTATCCGTCTTCTCGTTGTCGTCGGCGTAGGCAAATATTAACGGCGCCGTTCAATTGGATAGTTGTTCCGTGTCTATCAATTGCTTAAGACTCCTTGGTAATATGTAAGATGATTGCAGACAATTGAAGAGGTCTACATCAAAACGAATCTTTTAATGGTAATAATATTATTATGATACACATGTGGAAGGGGAGAGCACGACGGCCAAGGTCATCGGTGGTAACCAGCAGTCGGTCGTTTTTTTTGCAGTGTTAAGAAAAAAAATCGGTTATCAACACGGACCTTGCAAGTAAAAAAAAAAAAATTTGCAAAATTTGTTCGAAATACATATACGCTTGTGTGATGTGCGAAAAGAACGAGTTCTTTATAATGTGACTGCAGACTTTGCGCGCATTGACCTATAACCAAAACCAGAATCTATTGTACGCTTATTATTCGTTTTTAAACAAACTCTAACAATTAATCTTAATGCATACCGCACGCATGTTCAAAAATAACTATTGACGAGGTTTTTGTTTTCACAATTATATTCGAATTGTTTGTATAATGTATAGAAATATTCAAGTACTATTTGAACGATATGAACGAGATTTTAAACTCTGAGCGAAGTGTCTAGTGAATTAGTCTTGCAGATAATGTACGTGTTTTTTTTTCTTTCTTTAAAACAGTTTTTCGACTTAAAGAATTGTTCCAATTAATATTTCCAATGGGGTTTTATTGTAGATTTTGGTTTTAGCTATTTTTGAAAATATTTTTAGTTTTCTTTATAATTGAGAATAACGACAAACATTTAACCAAGTTTCGCTGATTTTTTGATTGCGATAATTTATCGTTGCTTACAGTATACAGAGTGTCCGGGTACATATAGGTTATATTATATAGATAGGCATACATGCAATTATGACGTAGGCTATGAAAGGACATTTGAAAATTCAACACTTAAAGGAGTAAATGAGGCTTTTAGGTATTTTCGGTACGAATATCTAATAGTAAATAAATATATAAATGAAAAATGTACGTATACAAAATAAAAAATTAGTTAATTAATGATTACTTCGCCTGGAGTATTATGATAAGTGTATTGTTACGACCGATTTCGAATTAAAAATTCATCAGGTATATCACAGTCAAAATGTAAAACGCGAACATTTTGTTTTTATTTTATTATTTTATTAATATTATATTAATTAAAATATATTTCTCTCTAACACGCTGTAAAAACAAAAAAAATAACGTGTGTACACAAATAGTAGCTTTGACTGGATATCGGTTCATGGGAAATAACGAATATTTTTTGTGCGACGTTGTAGGTGTAGTGGAAATCGTATATACCTTGTTTACACTTTTATGCTGATGCTATTCAGATAGGTTCGAATAAATTACATTATTATGCTGACTAATGACCAGTTACGGCGATTATGAGATAATGGATATCAAGGTGTGATTTGGACACGGGCTTATGTATCTGGAAAAAAAATCTATTATACGTTATCTATTTATTGTTCACGTATTAAACATCCTCTTAACTGTTTATACATTACTAATATACTTTAATAATACTTTCGTATTTGTATACAGAAAAACTTCATGCATTTTTTAAAATAATTATTTTATTAAAAATGCCATATAATATTACTCCGCATATCGTTCAATATTTAATTGAACGATGGTTTATATAAATCATTGACAATTATTCAAATTATAAATCCTATTGATTTTTTTATTGTTTTTTCGTTAAAGGCAACTTAGAGAAACCAAAAATCGGAGGAAGATTTCAGTTGGTAAAGTTAGCTATAGACGCACGGAAAAAAATATATATGATATTGCTGGTGGGTATACTACTGTTGTAGGTGGGAAGTTTGGAAAATAGCAGTGGCGTGCTGTAATATTTGATATTGGGTAAGCGTTAAAATAAAACTTCAAACTAAATTTTAAGAAAAAGTATATTTTATCGATAAAAATTACAATTGTATTGTAAACTGTATAGTTGTATAGCTTGTTAACACGTCGACGGTTGACGTCAAAATAATACTGATTGGTAAGTACTTGCATAGCGAATGTGCCCAGGTAATACAAAAAATAATGTATCTATTAATAATGATAATAATCTGATATACAACGAGGAAAAAAATGAAATACGTTTTTAAAAATATCAACATGCCCTAGACGTAGAGCTTCCAACCGCCATATAACACCGTGAATAACCGTTTACACCGAAACCGTTCGTTCCTATACAATAACGATACGGGCCGAACAAACTAAAATACGAGCGCATCTGTAAAGAAATTGTTTATACGAACAAAACAAAATTATTAAATTTCTTTCAAAGAAACCTGATAGATTGTTTTAAAATTGAATACTCATAGAAGAATAATAAATAGTATTCATTTGAATATATAAGTGACATTTTCATTTAATATGATAAATGTTAAACTTTCTATTAATTATTTCTTTTTGGCCGGATTTGCGTCGCTTACCCAACTTGTCCTGACGGCACACGCCACTGAAAGGTAGGATACATAAAGTTATTTAATATATATATATATATATATATATATATATATATACATATATATGCACGAATTCAAAAATAAATCATTGCTAACAAAATATAATTTTGAGCGAAATTCCGTTAAGCATTATTAATGAAAAACAGTACACATTATAATTCAGTTCTTGAGATTAAAATCTAAACAAAAATAAAAATTACAATGCATTGTTATTTGAAATTACCTCATTAAACTTGTGGCAAGGTAAATGAGTTATTAGTACACAATGCAACTTACTTATAATATTCAAAGAAAATTAATAATACTTATTCTCCTAATTATATAAATAATTATAGTTCAGATAATGACTGGTTAATTAATTTTATCGATTTGGTATAATATCAAAAATATGACCGTAGTAATACTACAATATTAAGTTTATTCTCAAAGTACATGACAATATTTCTATCAAATTTCTATTATACTTGAAAGTATATATATTCTTTCAAAAAAAAAAGAAATAAATAATAATAATAAAAATCATTCAGATTTATGCATATTAGACCGAGTTATATGTGTCTATAGTAGCATCGCTCAAATACGAATAAAATACCGCCTTCTTTGTAGAATTTGGTTAATAACAAAAATTTGAAATTTGACATAGAAACTGAAATTTACAGAAATCATGTCAGATGACAGATCCCTATTTGTTAATTTAAAATAAAAATAATTCATTGATGAGAAAATTATTTTGAAATCTCTTTCTTCACTATTATCCCGCGTGGAAAAAATATTAATTAAAATGTACAATTTTTTTATATTATTAACAGCTGTACTGTACAAATAAAGGCTCGCGCTTCTTTTCTGTTGCGTTTATAGGTTAATTAAATATGCGTGTACACTAAATGCTATAAAACCACCTGTTTCCACCTATACGCTCCCCCTCCTATTATTATTATTTATTAACATAAATATCCAGACTATTTAGGATGTGATCAGATGTTGAAATCATAATATTGATACAATTAAATAATAAATAAAATAAAAACAAAATATGTTGGCAGGGTTCAGGTACCCAAGGACTATGATTTTATAAATTATAAATTGATTGGCTTTAAAGTTTGAAATTCAATCACTCTTTCTATTGGGGTACAAATCCTGCTTCTTAGGTGTTTAGAGTTCGAGCTTTGCTCTAGTGCATTTTTATGAGTTGGTAGAGAGGCACGTATATTTATTGATTTATATTTGATTATTTAATCCATTTTTAAAAATTTAATACAAATAAATAAGTAAAAAAAATAAAAATAAAAATAAGTACCTAACAATGAAATTAGACATTTTTTTTTAAAATTCCCATATATACGTAATATTCATAAATATGGATATGCTATTGATAAAAAACGTTTGACAACAGTGTCATCACTATAGATACTATTTATGTTGCTGCATTGCGATAATCCGAAGTTCCTAACGGTGCACAAATGCGCGTAATTCCGGCACTCTGTTTCAGCTCTTTATCGAATTTCCCTAGGCCTAATGAATTTATTATGCCCCATAATCCTTAAATACCGATTCCAGGGCGCGTTTCGAGATAAAAAGTACAAATACATATATTCAGACTTAACCTTAAGACATATAGTATAGGTAATATTTAAAATTGCATAGGCACCCGCCATCAACAGTATCGTGAAATACTTCAGACTAATATAAGCGCCATCCGCAGACCGAATTAATTACAATACAATTATGTATCACCGCATTATAATGCAATGCAAATTATACGGAATGAACGTCGGTTTTTTCTCAACAAATCCGTATATTTATATTTTAATTTATTACCAGTTCCTCTTGTCTACAATGCATACACATCTAGTACACATTAAGTACACGTGTACTACACCTATATTATGTTTAATATTCCGACCGTCAATCAATTAATTTTGTGCTCGATTCTACGATTAAACACATTATTTATATACAATATAGTATCTATACACGCATACCTATTTAATATGGACGTGCGCGTTCGAGCGGACCCTTAAAATAGGCCGTTTGTCGTTTATATTACAGTTTAATGCCGCTAGAAAAATTGACAATTAAACAAAACCTCCATAAAAGCTCAGATTAACAAATGTATTACTGATTGTAAAATCTACGAAATTAATCATAATAATATTCAACCTTAACTAACCATTAGATAGTATTTTGTTTTGTTTTTAATATTCGTTTTTTTATTAACTGTTTAATCGATAAGCAAAAATCCTGTAGTTTAGACCAATCGCTTATTTAAGCGTAAAGCTTAAAAGAAAAACCACATTCAGTAAGTGCGTTTGATTTTTAAATAAATTCAACTAAAATACAAGCACTGAAAACTATGTAGGTACCTACTTTAATATAGTCCAAGCTCGACTTTCACTTTGACTAGTAGTAGCCTTCGGCCAACATGGTTGATGGTAACGTGTTAACCAGCAAAGCCAGTAGGAAAGCAAACTCTGTAACAAATTAACTTAAGTCGCTTATGTCGTGGGTTGAAACCCAAATTTAATGTGGTAGAGCCTGCTATTGTTTGTACAAGGAAAATAACAGTCATTTATGTAAAACCAAAAATATATAAGGGGGAATGAAATGTACGTAGAGTGAAATTTACACATGCACAGTTTGATTCGAATTCCACTATTCTCGGTTATTTATTTATGAAAAAAAAGTTAAACCGTAGTTAAATCACTTTTTATATTCTACATCGATAAATCGTTAAGGAGCGACTTATGGAATTACGATAAGTCACATAGACAGTAATTTTTTAGCACCATAAAACCATTTAAGTGTATATGCAGACTAATGGCAAGCCAACAAAACACAGGAAAAAAAAGGCAAAATAAATGTATATTTAGTCGACTCCCACTCCAATAATTTCGAGATTTGTATAGGATTTTCTCGAGTAATATATATTCAAGGTTAATAAATCGAATATATTAAAAAAACTACTGTTAAACATCTAATAATAATGACTTCCTTCCAGTATTGAATTAATGCTTAACAAATTAATGACTAAATGGGAATAAATACATTCAGTGGGCGTTTGTTACCTGATTGCCGACGTCAAAAAAAAAAAAAAAAATTGAAATGTTATGAAAAATAATATTTTTAAAATCTTTGAATGATTTACAATATTTTCATTTTAGTATATAATTATATGCAATGTAGTATTCGTTTATTATTTAGTAAAGAAAACACCAACTGGGTAGTATAAAAATTAAAGAAATATTTTAAAAGATGTTTGAATTAAAAAATTAAAAGATAATTGCTAGAATAATTACTTAAATAAAATTAAAAGATGCACAGTAATTTTATTATCTAGATAAAAACAAATAATCTGATAATTTTTGTCTAGAGAAACGAGAACATTTTTTTTATACCACCCCAATCATAAAATTAAATGTTTGAGTATACCAGATATGGTACACGGTATACATCTAGATCTTTTAAAATTGAGTTGATAGATATAACTTTATGCATATAATTCGATTATTAATTAGAAATTAAATATTGTACCCATCATTTCTTATAAAAATCTTAAATTACGATTTAAAAAGATTTATCTAAAATCTAGATGATTAATCTAAGATAACGTCTCCAAAAACTTATTTCTCATATATCTGTATAAGATTAAAGATAAAAATATACCTGAGAACTTAGATAACTAAACTGTTCTCTAATACAATATGGCTAATGATATTTTTTCAGTCCAACAAGTTTTTTAAATCTACCAACTGCAAAACAAAATATGTATTATACTTTATACTTAAATTTTACTTTATTTAGATTCTGAGGATAGCGAGGACCGTATTTGTTCTATTATGATGTGTGCTTACTTTATTATTGTTATTATTATTTTTGAGAACTTGAGGTATTAATATTAATCTATAGCTATTTGAAATTTTAGATTTTATGTGGTTTTATAAATTATATATAATTTGATTAGCTTCTCAAATGTATTCGACAATTTGGTACACGTTTTATTATAAATTATTTTTATAGTACTGTAGAAATATCCATATTCATAATTTGTTTTATAAGTGTTTAAAGTTAAAATGTCGATGAAACATACAGGTTGTTTAAGATATCATAAACTAACATAATATCAGCTACTTTACGTCTTATACATATTGAGTCTAGGCTCAAGAAGTTTTTAACAACATAAACGGTATCTCTAGTAATGTGTATATTAAAGACATAAGCAATTATTTTCAAAAACTTGTACTAGATATTATTGAGATCATTTATATATTTTGAATAGTTATTAGACCAAATGAATGAACCAAATTCGAGGTTAAATCTTACTAAAAAAACATTTGTATATATATATATTGTTTTTAAAGTTTTTCGTATTTCTATTGATGAAGAGTAGCATTTTATATGATTTGTTTATAATCATTCTATGGTTTAATTTAAATGATAAATGATATTAAAAATAGTCTTCCAAATCCCTAATAGAATTTACTCTGTCGAGTGAATAATAATAATAATTATTATTATTAGTTTGGTAGTGAAATATTATTGGATTTTTACTACGTGTAAAAGTGATCATTTGGCATTTATAAAAAATTAAAACGGAGAAGATTTTGTACACTTCATTGGTAAAACTTATCAAAACCGGAATGTAAAATATTTATATCGTTAACAGACTTAATATCCAAGTATAATTTTGCGTCATCTGCAAACGACAAAATTTTAATATTGGTATCAAGAACCGACTGATCATTTATGAAAATAAGGAATAATAATGGCTACAGGTGAGAGCCCTGTAGAACACCCGAAGTCACTGGATAATGATCAGAGTAGTGAAAAGAGATTTTTACAGGTTGTATTCGGTTAGTGAGGTAGGAGTAAAGCCAGTTCAGTAGGTTTCCTACGAACCCGAAGGCTTTTAATTTATCTTATAAAAGTGTATGATTAACTTTGTTGAATGCTTTTTGAAAATCAGTATAAATGTTAACGACCTGGTACCCCACCTAATGATTTTGTTAAAAAGTTTTAGAAGAACAATAAATTTATTTATTTATTTAAATAGAGTGTTTTGAGAGAAAACCATACTGGTAGATAGTTATATATTTATAAAGTAAATTAGATAGCTTTTTAGTGATTATAGCTTCAAACGCTTTTGGTACAATTGATACTTTGGAAATACACTTATAGTTACTAATATTACTTTTATCATCGGTTTTAAAAGTGGGTGTAATATAAGATTTTTTCCAAAAACTTGGAAATTCCCTGGTAGAGAGGGATAGGTTAAATACGGAATGAAGAGGTTTAAAAAGCACGATTTTAAAATAGACAAATAAATCCTAAGATTGATTTAAGATTTCGTAAAATTTCGAGCTAGCTGTATTTATATTTAAGTTATCAAGGTTATATCGAAAAAAAAAAATTAGTAATATCGTTAAAATTACAACCATTAAAATTAAAAACATCTGGATTTTATTGGTTATTAGATAAATACGGTGTATTAACTGGATAAAAATAATTCCAAGGATGATACGAATCTACTAACGGAATGGGTGAATGACCGGGAAATATAGTATCTAAGTACTAAGTAGGTATCAGAAAAAATTAAATCTAAGATATTATCATTACGGTAATTAGGAATATTATTAAACTGACTTAAGCCTAAATAATTTATTACGATATTTGTTTTTGTAATATTATTAATTAAATTGTAATCACTTAAAGAGTAACCGGACAAATTAAAATCGCCGATTATAACGATATTATCAAAGCGTGATTGGCAACGATTTTCTCAACAATCTCACAGTGCTGTAGATAAATATCTGATAGGGTGTTGGGAGGTATATACACACAACCTAAAACTAAAGTTATACGATTATATTTTAATAACACAAAAATTTGTTCAATACCGGGGATATTATTATCTAATGGAATACGCATACAATTAAAATTGTTTTTGACAGCCAATAGTACACCCTTAACACAGCTACGATTATGACTAACAATTCGATCAGCTCTAAATATAATTCAAGGTCGTTAATATTAAAAGACAACCAAGTTTCTGATAAATATAATAAATCACAATTAATATCTAGAACAGAATTGAAAAAATAAGAGTTTAGTTCTTAGGCCACGTACTTTTTGATAAATAACATTTAATTAAAAAAAAATTGAAGATTAGCTTGTTTTGTATGAACGAGTGACACGATTTTAGGAGTACTTTAAAAAAAAAATAACGGTGAAACCAGCTTATCCATTTGAGTTACGGGCAGCCAATTCATCACTTAGTTCCCTCATGAAATCTCTCTGATATTGGGTTCAATCGGTACTTATGTGTATAGAAGAAGGAGGAGCAAGTTGGGACAATTTACGTTTACTTTTTAAAATTTCATAGACATCTGAAGAATTTGGAAATGATGCTTTAATTGGACGTAACTTAGCTTTTCGGTAGTGGCCGAGGCAAATAAATTTAATCGGTATTATGTTAGAATCTACTAAAATAGATATCATAACATTATTCACTTGATCAAGATTAAAATCAGTTTGATCATCAGGCCGGTTTGATTCACACTCGATAGTGTTATAGAAAATCAGATTACAAGAGTGATTTTCACGCTAATTAATTTCATTAATAATAAATTATTCACCTTGATTTTCTGACGGTTTGTACGAGTTTTTCAAGTTTTCAATTTCAACGAGCAATTTCTTTATAAGCGTTTTAATTTCTGGTATTTCTTTAAGGCTCGATCACAACCCTAACAAAAAAATTTTAAGTATCCATTTTTCAATGAGACACATTTCAATTCTATTGTTGAGAGTCCCAAACATTTAGCATGAGTTGATACAAAACAACTATCGTATTTAACAAGAACGTCTAAATCCGCAAATTTAGATTTATAAACGAAAAAATGTATAACTTCTTCCATAGTAAATACAAATGAACTAAAGACAATTATTAATTAGATAACGAAATACACAACCACGAGATACAACAGTCACTGATCAACTGATGTTCAATTAAAGCTTATCGAAACATGGTTAACCGATTTTTACCTAAAATCGTTTTTTGTTACTAATGATTTATCGTTGCGTCCAGATATATATTAAATTACTCGATACCGCTCTAGCGTTTCACTCTTCCGAGCGTAGCGAGGGAGCTATTGGTTTTAACTAAGATGTTTATTTCTTTTTTTATCTTTTTTATCTTTTTTTTTTCTTTGTTCTAATCTGTGAACACGTTTTTCTTAGTAAATTTGCTTCGATTTTTACACGTAGCAACTTTTCTAAAAGCTCAAGTTGTCTTGATAGTACTTGATGCTACTAAAGAGGTAATTTTATGATTCTCAACGCCATTTTTTTTAATAAAATCAATTAAGTGAGGAAAAACGTAGGAAAGGTTCATCTCCAAAACTTTTGAGCCACTTTTGAGCTATAAAGACATTTTAGGTTTTAGAAGTTTTTTTTTTGTAATTCGGTTAAAAATACACGTGAAGACTTAAAACTTGGTAATAATACTTATATTAGAATTACCTAGACATGGTAAAACTTTCGAAATCATTGGACGACTTTTTACGATTTTATTATTTTAAATAAGTACCTACCACGTTTTCTAGCACAAATATGATTCCAATTGAAAGAAGACAAGAGACATATTTTGTTGAATTATTATTCTTATTTTTAATAATGGTTTTGGTTGTTAAATATCATTAATACGAAATAAATTAATAGAGTTCAACAAACCTAAAATTATCAGATTTTTAAACAATAATAATAACCTCTTTTAGAATTTGTAATATTGACTAAATAAAACC